AGAAAAAGGAAAAAATAAAATCTTTAAAAAAAAAAAAAAAAAAAGACAGAAATAAAATGTACATTTAAAAAATGAAATGTAACTTTTAGAGATGAAAAATACGATATCTGAAATGAAAATGTGACTGATAGGATTAAGAGCAGATTAGACATTGCACAAGAATAGTGAATTTGAATATACAGCAATAGGAACTATGTAAAATGTGTGACTCGTGGAAAAATATCAAGGATCCAATTCACATGTAATGGAGATTCATGAAGTCACATGCTGGCTCTTTGATAAGATTAATAAAATTGTTAAACTTTAATCTAGTCTGATCCAGAAAAAAAAGAGAGAAGACATAAATTCCCAATATCAGGAATGAAAAAGACGAGACCATCACGAATGAGAGTGAAGGAATATTGTAAATAAGTTTGTGCCAATAAATGCAACAATTTAGATGAAATGGACAAATTATTTGAAAACCAAACTAGATTTTTCAAAACCAAAGATTTTATTGCAGTCTTGCACAAATTGTGTACCTTGACTCACCTGGAAATGACTTTAGGTGGTATTTAGACCCAACATTAAATGGCACTGAATTACCCAGTGAGGAAGTCAGTCCCCTTTCAATCATTGCATCAAGGGGAAAGTCTCCATGCGGGGCTAGTAAGTCTGCAACACCTCTCTAATATTTGTTGATTCTTTTTTTTTTTAACAAAGGTGTTGCTGCACATTCAGGGTCTCAGCAGGTAACAGTGTCTAGGTAGAATTTAATAACGTCATATAAAAAAGGTGGAAAAACCCAAATGTCCACCAACTGGCAAATGGATTAAAAATTGTGGACTATCCATAGACTGGAACACAATTCTGAAAAGGGAACTACTAATACACAACGTGGATGAATCTCTAATACTGGCTGCTTTCACTTATTCTATTACTATTTCTTAACCTGGGTGAGGAGCCAATAGGTGTTCACTGTATAGTTATTTTTAAATCTTAATACATATAAGATATTCTTTTCCATAATAAAAACCAAGAAAAAGTTAAATGAAATAAAATGAACAGTGCCTAATATGGTAGGTAGGCATACAGTAAATTTTTAAAAATTAATTAATTTATTTGTTTTCCCTCTTCTCCCCAAACCCCCCAGTACATAGTTGTATATTCTAGTTGTAGACGCTTCTGGCTCTGCTATGTGGGATGCTGTCTCAGCATGGCTTGCTGAGCAGTGCTAGGTCTGTGCCCAGGATTTGAACCACTGAAACCCTGGGCCGCTGAAGTAGACCACACAAACTTAACCACTTGGCCATGGGGCTGGCCCCAGTAAATACTGATAAAAAAAGTTATCAGCATGAACTCCTTCACTTTTGTCCATCTCAAAATGTTTGTCTTTCTTTCTGGTTATAATTCTTCCATTCCATAGGTAACTCTATTAGTTGTGTTCACACAGAAACTCATTCCCATCTAATTCTCTTCATGACCTTACTTGCTCAATTATCCTTTTTTTTGAGGAAGATTAGTCCTGAGCTAACATCTGCTGCCAATCCTCCTCTTTTTGCTGAGGAAGACTGGCCCTGAGCTAACATCCATGCCCATCTTCCTCTACTTTAAATGTGGGACGCCTGCCACAGCATGGCTTACCAAGCGGTGCCATGTCCACACCCGGGATCCGAACCGGTGAACCCTGAGCAGCCAAAGTGGAATGTGCAAACTTAACCACTGCGTGACGGGGCTGGCCCTGCTCAATTATCCTCTTTTATTTTCAGTCTCTTTTTTCACTTGCTTTTCTCTTTGGTCTACAAAACAAACCCACTCTAAAAAGGGGGCCACTAAATTTATTCTGTTGTGGCAGACAGTAAACATTTTAGGCTTTATTGCATATTCTTCTTTTTAAAACAACCCTTTAAAAATGCAAAAACCGTTTTTAGTTAAAAGGTCAGATGTGGTCCACTGGGCAGGTTTACCAAGCTTTCTTCTAGTATCAACAAACTTCTCAATTCTGCTACCCAGTATCAATACTATCCTCTCAAATAAAGTAAATTTGGCACATCCCTGTCACGTACCTAAGCACCATATTAAGGTTTCCTTATTTTTTCATCTCATTTAATCCTCGCAACAATGCTATGACACGAAAGTTTTAGTACCTTCGTTTTACAAAATAGGATATTGAAGCTCAGAGAGTATAATGAACACCAGAATTGTTTTTGTAACCAATTTCTCCATGTCCAAGTCTAGGGCTATTTCCGTTAGATCACATTACCTCTCCCTCTCTTCACTGCCATTTACCTGGGAAACAGAAATCTCTAATTGTGATTTCTACTTCTTTACTGTAATTAGTACTTATTTTCTTATTGCATAGTCTTTCAAAATCTGACTTCCACCTTCAATGCTCTATGAAAACAACTTTCCAACAAACCCAATGACACTTAAATAAAAAACATACAAGTATTATTGTATCAACTGACATTTAAATATGGGGAAAAAAATGATGCAGCCACTTTAGAAAACAATCTGGCAGTTCCTCAAAGTTAAACAGTTACCATATGATCACTATTCTACTCCTAGGCATATCTCCAAGAGAACTGAAAACATATGTTCACCAAAAACTTGTACACAAATGGTTATAGCAGCATTATGCACAATAGTCAAAAAGTAGAACAATCCAAATGTTCATCAACTGAGGAATGGATAAACAACATGTAGTATATCCATACAATGGAATAATAGTCAGCCATAATGAGGAACGAAGTACTGATTCATGCTACAACATGGATGAAAGAAGCTAGTCACAAAAGGCCGCATAGTATATTATTTCATTTATATGAAATGTCCAGAAAGTAGATTAGTGGTTGCCAAGGGCTGGAGAAGGCTGAAAAGGGGAACGACTGCTAACGAATATAGTGTTTCTTTTTGGGGTGATAAAATGCTCTGAAACTAGATAGTAGTGGCGGTTGTACAAGCTTGGGAATATACTAAAAACCACTGAATTGTATACTTTAAGAGGGTAAATTTTATGGCATGTGAATTATATCTCAATTTTAAAAATAAAAAAATTTACCTAGAATCCTTTACTCCAATTGTTTTCAATTTTCTTTGTCTTTTTATCATATGCATATGTGTGGATATAATTTTAATTCTCTTTTGTCGTCAATCCAAAATCATTTTGCCATGCTGCTACACAATCATAATTACGTAGTTTTATATTTTATGGAAACAAAATATTTCACTAATAGACTACAATTTTAGTATCGTTGAATAAATTATTTTTACTTTTTCAATATTAAAAGTGTATTTCCATCACTAGACCTAAGCATAGAGATTCCCTCTCTTTTTATGGTATTTCCTTAACATAAGTTCCTAAAAATAGAATTACTGAGGTAAATGATAGGTGACAATTTTTATGGCTCTTGAAATAAAATGCCAAACTGTCTTGCAGGTCTGATGCAAATTTATACCATCATTAGAAAAGTATGAGCAAACTAGACTCCACCATAAGGTAACCAAGATACGGTGTTCCTATTTTTTAATTTAATATACTGCAAATAGAAATATGATAAATACAATAAAGAAAATGTTAAGTTCTTTCACTTAGTTGGATCTATTTCCGGACTCTATATTGTTTCACTGACATAATTACGTGCTTGTGGTTTTATAATAGGTTCTTACATTTGGTAATATGTTCTTTCCTCATCTTTTTCAAACAATTTTCTGATATACCTGTTTAAATTTCTACACATAGTTTAGAATACACTTGACAAGGCATCAAACTTGTGAAACTTCTCAGGGATCTGAATAATCAGCATTGTTTAGGAAGCACTCCCAAAGAGCCTCCCTTAGAAAGGGACCCGTCTATGTTCTTTCCCACCATCCTGTACATATCTATAGCATAATTCATATAACCCTGTGTTCTACTTGTTACTCTTTTCTATTTCCTCCTATATGACTTTGGAAAACTAAACAAAAAGACCATCTCACATCTCCGTATCATAAATTAATGGTATACAAAAGTGTATCAAAAAAATGTAGGCTGAATGAATGAATGAATATATCAAAGACACCACTTGCATGAGTCAAAACAGCAATTACTGGGGCTGGCCCCGTGGCCGAGTGGTTAAGTTCCCGCGCTCCGCTGCAGGCGGCCCAGTGTTTCGTTGGTTCGAATCCTGGGTGCGGACATGGCACTGCTCATCAGACCACGCTGAGGCAGCGTCCCACATGCCACAACTAGAAGAACCCACAACGAAGAATACACAACTATGTACCGGGGGGCGTTGGGGAGAAAAAGGAAAAAATAAAATCTTTAAAAAAAAAAAAAAAAAACAGCAATTACTGCTTGGCACTATATTAGGAGCTGTGGGAAAAACAAAGAAAGTAGGAAACATTGTCCTGCTTCCTAGGGAATCTAGAAACTAAAAGGGGGGCTGGCCCGGTGGCGCAGCAGTTAAGTTTGCACATTCCGCTTCTCGGTGGCCCGGGGTCCGCCAGTTCGGATCCCGGGTGTGGACATGGCACCACTTGGCAAAAGCCATGCTGTGGTAGGCGTTCCACACATAAAGTAGAGGAAGATGGGCATGGATGTTAGCTCAGGGCCAGTCTTCCTTAGCAAAAAGAGGAGGACTGGCAGTAGTTAGCTGAGGGTTAATCTTCTCAAAAAAAAAACTAGAAGGAAGGGAAATTAAAGGCAGACTATTAATACATAATTTTGGAGACTATGTAGGATTATAACTGAACAATGATTATGTAATTAATGTTGTTACGAATTTAATAGAGTACAGAGAAGAATGAGTACAGTAGGAGCTGCGAAGGACTCTTGGAACTTGAGATGGGCAGGAAAGTACTAAGAGGATTTGGGATAAGAGGAAAACAGAGGTATGTTATAGTCTTTGGGTAAAAACACGAACAAAGGCATGAGGGGGAATTAGGTATACGGGAGTCATGTGCCTATCCATTCTGCAAACAGACAACTACTTTTGCCCAAAAAGTTTATTTTACGCAGCAAAGAATTAAAATAATTTTACCTGGAGTTCTCCAAGTTTCTTAGATGTTGGTGAAACAATGGTAAAAAATCCATTGATGTGATGGGTTGGAGAAAGCTGGGCTAGTCCACTGATCTGAACTCTACCAATTGGAAGATGATCAAGTTTGGTGATTACTTCCAGCACCAGCACAGCCATATCTAATCAAAAACAATTACAACATAAACAGATATTTTTCATTTACTTTATTTATTTAGGAAATGGGGATGGGACATATGTTAGAAAACTTTATTACTGAAAAAAATTACTTTAGGGGCTGGTGTGGTGGTAAGGTTCATGTGCTCTGCTTCAGTGGCCTGGGGTTCACGGTTTCAGGTCCCGGGTGTGGGCCTACATATCGCTGTCAGGCCATGCTGTGGCGGCAGCACATACACAAAAAATAGAGGACGACTGGCACAGATGTTAGCTCAGGGACAATCTTCCTCAAGCAAAAAGAGGAAGATTGGCAAGACATGTTAGCTCAGGGCCAACCTTCCTCACCAAAATAAATAAATAAATAGGAAAAGCTTCTAAATTGGAAAAAATTTTTTTAAATTATTTTATTTTCAAATAGATCACACACTTATCATATCAATCTGGTGGTAGAGAAGAGTGAACCCAAGATCAAAAGAACAATAAAGTTTTAAAGAAGAATGAAAATACTTTGCATGGAGGAAAAAAATTACATTGAATAAAAATATTAAGCATATCAAGCATAAGGAAAATACCTTTAAAAGAGTATTTTTTCAACATTTGGCAAGAACTCAGGCTTTGGTTTTGAAATATAAAAGCAACAATTCTCAGTTCTTTTATTCTCACCATTTCTAGTTTGGAATTGGACAAAGGGCTTCTCTTATATAGATGCAAGGGTCTATCTCTGCCTCCCAGGAGTATCTAATTGCTTACTCCCGAGTTATATACCTGGAACACTAAAATACTCAGAGCACCTGGAACTAAGAAGAATAGAAATAAACTCCTTAACTGTATTCTTAGAATTAGTTGCTCAGACTTAATACCTTCATGGTCCTAATCTACAGCAGGAGAAATAAAATACATGCATATGGACTCTGAGATTATTTCCGGACAGTATAACTTCTGAATATTTTCTTACCAAAGTTGAGAAAATGGTTCATTTTCACCATTTGTTCAATTCTGTAGTGAAAAGAGTATAGGACTTAGAAGACCTGTGATTGTGTCATGGCTCCAATATTCACAAGCTATGTCTGTGTAAGCCACAGCTGTCTGCAAAACAGGCATCATAATACCCCCATCATGGCTGTGAGAGGAACGGGGGTATTACAAGTAAAACACGTAGCAGTGTCCTCTCACATGATAGTTGCTTAATAGTTGTTACATGACTTTAGGCAAATTACTTAACATACCACAGTCCCTGTCTTACCTACTCACGGAAATTATCTGAAAACCATATGAGCTAAGAGATAAAAGTGCTCTGTAGACTATAGAATGATGTGCGTATGCAGAATAAAGGAAATGTACCAACATTTGTTGGCTATTTACCAACAGCTAGGCTCTTCACGTCTCATTCTCCTAACAACTCCATGACACAGTTGTTTCTGTCTCCATGTAAGGATAACACTGAGGCTCAGGGAGGTAATGTAACACTCCTAAGTTCACCCAGCTTTAAAGTGACAAAACTAGGCTAAGAGTTCCACCCAACTATAAAGAACACAACTCCATGCTGCTTCATTATTTATTACCTCTAGAGAGAAAAAACTTAATTCCTAATGGGCTTCTGACCTCTATCCTTCACTTTTGCTGTGGACTTAGAATCCCCGTTGTCCAGCATTATTCCCACCCCTAATGCCTTTCATGTTCCTACTGACTGAATCCTATCTGATTAAAGAGAGGCAAAAATCAAGTGGCGAGGCTCAGTGAGGAATCATAATTTTCTTAGTTTCTACTTTAACCTTCCCATGCTCCAAACATTTTCATGGCTATTTCCCATAAAGAGATAAAAGGGAAGGGAGGAAAGATGCAAGAGAGTATGAGGCATATCTTAGAATCCTATGATCTCTCTATTTCCCGAGGCAGTATAGCATAGCAACACCAACCTAAAGTTCAGGTGCCAAGCCTAATGCATTCTGTATTATCCCATAGGATGCTCAAATAAATGTCTGACCTATTGATTATCATACTAGTAGATATCTTTTCTCCTACTGAGGAATTTCTAATAACTCTTCATTTGTTAAATTATATAAATATCACCTAAGGATTTAAGTTTTAGGTGTACAATACCCAGAGCATCTATGGGTGGGTATCGTTTACTAGCACTTATCACTTTCTACCTACTATTGCAACTAAACTTCTGTCGACTCAGCTAGAATTAGATGCCATTCTGGTTAAATTTTTAAATTCATTTTTGTAATCCCCATAGTGCCTAGCACAACATCTAGCACATATAGATCCTGTAGATCCCTGTAGAGGATCCTTCCCTTCTCTGCAAAACCTGTATTACTTACTCACTAACCACTCATTTGGCATTTAGCATGTATTATCTTGTACTATTAGTAAATTTTATATCTATACCTTCTATCCTCGAGCATAAGGAAAGTAAGACCCAGAACAGAGGCTGCAGTTACTACTTAAAGAAGTATGATGTAGTCAAAAGTGCATGAGTTTTGGTGTCAGACAGAAGTGGGTTCAAATCCTAGTTTCGTCATTTATCAACTATATAACCTTACAGAGTATTCATTTCATCTCTCTGAACCTCAGTTTCATTATCTACAAAACAGAGAAAATATCTATCTTGCGGAGTTATTAAGGATTAGAAATAATATGTATCAACCGCTAGCACATAGTATAGTCTCAATAAATGGCGGCTATTATAAAGCCTCTTTTGATTCCTCAGTAATTAACAATGTCGCAGATACTATGTACACAATAACACCTATTGGGAACAACATAACCACATGCTTACTAGGCCTGCAGGTGAAATGCTAAGACAAAAATATACCTGTTAGATAGGAGGTAAACTGCTTTGGACCACAGCGAATAGCATAACGTGTAGTTGTTCTCACAGCTTTTGGTTCAGTCTGCAGTGCGTCCCTGGGACAAAAGAGGGTTCCATCCGATGTTTCTCCCCACCATCTCACTCGGACAAGAACAGAAGTGGGAGGCTTTGCAATCTTCCATATGACTTTATTAACAGTAAGTTTCAGAAAGCAGCGTAGCTGGCCTTCAACCAGAGGCGGTAAGCTTGTAGATGGAGAAATGTCACTCAAACCTGTGGAGGAATCCAAGAACACTAAGTCAAAATTTAGACTATACATGGAAAACATATAATCTGCTTCTTGAATGAAAACACACAAAAACATTTTAGTCTCTAAAGAGAGAAGGCTTATCCCAACCTATTCTAATACATGAGAAATAACTAGGACACCAGACTAAAGAATAACCTATCTGGTCACTTAAGACACCTTGATATCTAATTAGTATTTAGGGTTTGATTCAAGTTCTTGTAAGTAAAGAACATACCAACTTAAGACATGCTAATATGAACTCCTCTTCAATTAAAAGATACCATTTGAAAAATACAAACATAATGATATAGTAGATAGGTTTTTAAAATCTCAAAAATAGTTGAAATTTTTCTTCTAAGTACCGTTGTTTTGATTATTGCAATGTCCACAGTTATGTCATCTTTACCTAACTCTCTTACTTTAAAACCATCACTAGGGCTGGCCCAGTGGCGCAGCAGTTAAGTGCGCACATCCCACTTCAGCGGCCCAGGGTTCCCAGGTTTGGATCTCGGTGCAGACATGGCACTGCTTGTCAAGCCATGCTGTGGTAGGCGTCCCACATATAAAGTAGAGGAAGATGGGCATGGATGTTAGCTCAGGGCCAGTCTTCCTCAGTGAAAAGAGGAAGATTGGCAGCAGTTAGCTCAGGGCTAATATTCCTCAAAACAAAAACAAAAAAAACCATCACTAAATATAAAACAGCAACAATTCCCTTCACTCAACTCTCAAATGATTCAGTCTATACCATACAACTCAGCATTTCAATAAAGACCACCTTAAAGTGTGTATGTCTTTTCTTTCCTGCCAACAATATAGTCAACGAGCACAGAGACTATCATCTTCATATTCTGCCACTATTTTTTAGCAAAGTGCTCGGTTCACAATATTTATTGGCTTTTATAAGATTTATTGGATTTCAGACAGATAAAATCTAAATGAGGCAATTACTCATGACTTTCTATAAAACTTTCCATTAATGACCCTGATTGTCTTCCATTCACAGTATCTTAGAACCAAGACCTGGAAGAGATTTAAGAAACATTCCTATATTACACATACCTTTCCATGCCTCTAACTTTTCCCTTGGGGAGTGGTCATGCCACACAAGAAGAAAATATACTGGAGTCTATCAGATCAGGAATGTATATAACTAATTCTTTGGGTTTCTAAAGCGAACATCCTCTCTGCTCTCTACAGTGGAGAAAAGACCCACCATAATCTTTACGGATAACTAGTTTCAACTTAAAAATTATACACAGGTGTGTATATGAACATTATTGCATATGCATATGGTATAGCGAGAAGGATATTCTTACGTTATTTCTATTGCGACTTTCCTCCTATCAACCAAATATGCTTGACTGGTTTAACACAGGGAGCATCAGTATTGAACACTTCCACGCTTCTGTCTCATATCCTCCCATCATGCTGGCAGGAAAGACACTACTTCAAAACTGCCTTAATTATCTTTAAACAGCTTGGAGAAGATTCATTCCCAGACTGTAGCTTCAGTCCTCAACCCAATGGCCTAATGTACTATTACTATTCCTAACACCTCTTTGCCTGTAATGTAAAAAGGCAGTCACCCAATTTATTTTGTATCGTTTTTTGAGGCAGCCCTGTAGAGATTCAATTTCCAGTTTCCTGATCTGCCTTGAGTTTCTGGAGTGACTGTTGTCGCTGCAGCTAACATTTCCCTACTCTCTTGATGAGCTTGTTTCTCCTCGAGCTTACTAACCTGATAACATCCTCTTGCTACACACTCTTCCCTCACCTCAAATCCTTCAGAGATCTTCACGCCTTCAACCCCACCCCAGCCCTATCACACCCTGTCATGCCCTTCTTCCTTTCTCATCCACAACTATCTTTCCCAACTCCTGCTTATAGCCTTTCATGCCTCATGATTGTCTCACACTTCACTCATTCAAATAACATTTACTGAGTCCTGCTTTGTGTTAGTTCTTGGGGTCTCAGTAATGTATAAAACGTGATCTTGGGGGCGGGGCCAGTGGCGCAGCGGTTAAGTGCCCACATTCCACTTCTCAGTGGCCCAGGGTTCACCAGTTCGGATCCTGGGTGCGGACATGGCACCACTTGGCAAAAGCCATGCTGTGGTACACATCCCACATATAAAGTAGAGGAAGATAGGCATGGATGTTAGCTCAGGGCCAGTCCCCCTCTGCAAAAAGAGGATTGGCAGCAGATGTTAGCTCAGGGCTAATCTTCCTCAAAAAAAAAAAAAGTGATCTTTGCCTATTAGGATTACTGACATACTTGCCTCACCAACTTATGTTTCTTCCAGTCCCATGTGGACCTCCAAAGCCATATCCAACCCCTCTACACACATTTAACTGTTATCAAAAACACACCTAAATCATGGCAATGTAATGTACAGCACCATGACTACAGTTAATAACAGTGTATTGTGTATTTGAAAGCTGCTAAAAGACTAGATCTTAAAAGTTTTCATCACAAGAAAAAAAATTTTTTTGTACCCATGTATCAGATGACGGACGCTACCTAGAGTTACTGTGGTGATCATTTCGCAATATATAAAAAATCCAATCATTAGGTTGTACCCCTGAAAAGAATATAATGTTATGTCAATTACATTTCAACTTTTTTTTTTAAACCTAGAATTTTTTTGTTCCCTTCCTCTAGAAGCGTCCTACCTGTACCTTTTTAGCCCTCACCTCGCCACATTTATTCGCCCTCTTTGCCCCCCTCTCCAGCCCCTATTTCCATTCCATTCCATTTTGGTGGACCAACTGCTCTGTCTTTTAACCTTTTGATTCCTGGTTATTCTCTCTTCTCTGTCTTTTTTTTTTCGTAGGCCGGTGTGGGGGTCTCCCTAGAATTCCCTCTGTTCCCCTAACTCCGCCCTATTACGCTTTCCTCGACCTTTAGGCTCTCAGGTTACCTCTTTTCTTACGGCCATGGCCGCCCCCAGGCCCTTGGCCTTTTCGTTGTTTCATGACGAGCCCGAGCTCTTCTTCACCAGCTCAACTCCGACCCCAGCACCCAAGCAGTAGCCTCCCGCCATCCTTTCCCACAGCGCCTGCGTTCCCTGGTAACCGGCGCCGCCGGGCAGCCTGGGAGGCAGGAAGACGCGGCTCTTCCTCTAACAGTCTCTGGGAAGTGGTGAGAAAAGAAGGCGCCAAGACTCTTTCCCGCCAATAGACTACAACACCCAGGATGCTTTGCTACACTACCTCTGAGGGGTTGGAGGCTGTCGCCTACATCTGCGCAAGCGCAAAGGGATACGTCTGTTGAGAACTCCATTGCCCAGGGTGCATTGTATTCAGGAGCGTTTCTCTTTCCGGCGAGGATCGTCGAGTTTTCCGCTTGAGGTCTGAGGGGTGGGCTGACTCCGTTACCCAGCTTCCTTTGTGGAGGGCTGTTGCGCACTTCCGGTGGAAGTGCTGAGGAGAGGGGGGGTAGCCGGTGGGCGGTGGGCGGTCCTGCCGGTACCTGGGTGCTGTCCAAAGGCGACGGGGCGTCGCTTAGGGGAGCGAGCTGTGACCGGTTGGGCCGCCCTTAGCGTGGGACGAAGCTTCGGCTACTGTTTTAACTATCTGCGGCCTCCCCTTCATGTCGGCCCTCGAGAAGAGCATGCACCTCAGTCGCCTGCCCTCTCGCCCTCCTCTACCCGGCAGCGGGGGCAGTCAGAGCGGAGCCAAGATGCGAATGGGGTACGTGACTCGTACCCCTTCTCCCTGGAGGCCAGGCCCCGGCCATTGGAGGATGGTGTCTCTGGGCGTTGAGAGCGGCACAGCGAAGGAGGCTACGGTTAGGAGAGAATGTTAGCAGCGGCCTGAGACGTTTAGATGGAGTGGAAGGCAGATTTGGGGACTAGGGCAGGCGCCAAGTCTATGGAAACTGGAGGACATAGTATTGAAGTGAGAAGGGAATGAGGCAGAGATTGAGGAAGCTGAGAGGGTGATTTAAGAGAGGTAGGAGGCACCTCCAGCAGAAGGGATGGAGGAGGATGGAGGAAAGGGAGTAGTGCCGAGACAAAGGTGGCGAGGAATCTGCCAGGGAGGGTTGAAGGAAATGGGGGTGACTGAGAGGAAAGTTGAGGGGACTTAGGGGAGCAACTAGGGAAAGATTTGGGAGGAGTAAGAAGAGTGTGAGAACTAGATATGAGAAAAGCTGAGGGAAATAGAGAACACCTGAGGCAGAGTTGGAGAAGGAAAGAGAGCTAGGAGCAGAAGGTTCTAGAGAGAGTTCCTAGAGGTGTAAGAGGCAGATTCAGGGAGATGAGGGGGTGACTAGGAGATTTGGTCTCAAGGGAGAACTGAGAAAGCTTGGGGAACAGGCCTAAGGAAAGATGGAGAGCATAGCCAGGAAGTCTTTTAAGGATAGTAGGAATGTGCTGAGAAGTGAGGGTAGGAAATAAGGGGAGGAGTCATGAGGGAGAGGGCTGAGTTGCTTAGAGAGTGGCCATGGGCTGTAGAAATTGAGAAATGACTAGGAATGGGGTTTAGTGAATCGAAGTGCTGCCGAGAGGTGAGGGCTGGTAAGCTCCAAGAGGAAGATTTGGGCCGTTGGCTTTTGCTGGGCAAATAGGTCTAATGGAAGCTATGTACTGGTTTGATAAGACTCAGAATTAGTGAAGTATTGAGAGTAGCTATTTATGATATCTTGGGGAGAACTGTTTACTGGGAAAGGAGGAGCTGTATTGAAGAGATAGGCTTTTGGAGTTTTAGGTTGTTGAATGGCTTGTGCCAGGTTAGAGTTTACTTAGGTGTAGGAGAGAGAGTATGAAGAGTTGAACAGGGGAGAGGTAATTGCTGGAAAGCAGAGAGAATTGAATTGGCACTTGGTTTTGAGTGGTATTTGTAGTATCAGATAGGATTCTAGTGGCTGTAAAGAGAAAAGAGGAAGAATACTTAGGTATGAGGTAGTCAAGTGTGTGTGTTTGGGATTCTAGACATAGGTTGGTAGGTATTCTTGGAATAAGGACTAGAGAAGAGAAACCTTAGATTCTGAAGAAGTAATGTGTACAAAAACTGATCAAAAAGGAGATGAGGATAGGAGATGCAGTACTGTGAAAGTAGGTCTTAGGAACAAAGAGAAAGGAGAATCCTGTAAATTAAAACAGTGGGGTGGAGGAGTGATGAGAATGATTGGAAAAACCAAGGAAAGAAACTAAGAATTGAGGTGGAGGCCTGACTATGGTACACAGTAGAAAAATCGGAAAACGTGGACAGAAGGAGCTAAGTTGATGGATGCACGGTAGAAAGAGGTGGTAGAAGGCTACATACAAGGTAAAATGAAGATGGTTTTGGCTTTGGAAGACAGCAGGGTAGGACTGTAACATGAATAAGGTGGATCTGGAAACTGATCCATAACAGATTATGGGGGAAAATTAACCTAGAATATAAAATTAATGTAGCAGTTATTGTTGACGTGTGTCTTAATTGCTGCATTTCTTAAACTAAAATCTGATCTTTCAGTATACCAGCACTCTTATAAAAATATCTAAAAATATTAGCTTTTAATGACTACGCATGCTTCAGATAAGTTTAATTAGAACTCAGCTTCTCACTTTGTCAAAACAAGTTATCTGAAGATGAAGAACTGGAGAAAAATACTAAGAGAAAATAAAGGGAAAATCTTCTGATTAGAAGATTGTGTAGTTATAATTTATCATCTTTAAGTAGAAGCTTTGGTCTTCGTAATTTAGGTTAACTGCTTATCCTGGTAAATAAAGTTCTTTAGAAGGATGCTTCTTTATAGTATGGTGAAGAGAAGAGCATATGTTGGTGAATTTTGTGTGGTCCTCAAGTGGCTTATTTTCCTCTATTCTTCTTTTCTTCTTTGGTGTTGAAACGTAGGCGGGCTTCATCTAAGTCTAATGTTAGTGATAGTATAGACTCTCTCCCCTCTAGAATCATAAAGCTGGAAGAGAGCTTTGAAATGATCTCATCGCACCACTTCACTGTATAGTTAAGGAAACTAAGACTCAGAGAATTCTGTAAGGTAAACTAGGAGGCAGGGGACGGTATTTCCTCTTAATAAATGAGAAAACTGAAACTCAAGTTTTCCTCATAATAAGGCACCCTCTTAGAAGCTTAGTGGTAGGGCCACTAAGGACTAGGACTTGGCTCTCTGGACTCTAAGACCCATTGTGTTTTTTGGATTCGTAGTTGTTATCCTGGCAATACTTAATTTGTGGATCTTATTCCTTTGCAAATACTATGGGGTTCAGTCTTTTTTCCTCCATCAGTTCTGATTTATGAAGTCTCACTTTCACCAATTTCAAAGCATCCTTCTCTCTTTCTCCTACACACTTGCTTTTTTTCTTATCTTCCCATCTTTTTCCACTCCCACATCTCTCTCTTACTCAAGCTGGGCCTGTTCTGTTGACAGTCTCTTATATGACTTACTCTTTCAATTATTTTTCATAATCTCTTGCCTTCAATTTCACTAAACCTTACGTAGATGTGTTTGCCTATTTAGGGTGGTTTTGAGTTTGTGATTTTTCTTGAGTTTCCATAATTTAGTTTTCCAAATTGGACTTAGTAGTGCCAGAGTATTGCTGGATAATGTAATAATAGTAGTTACTTTTTTTTTTCTCAGTAAGTGTAGTATGCCATGCATTGTACTAGGAGCTTTATGTATGTTATTTTATTTAATCTGCCCATAGCTGGGCAAGGTGGATATTTCCCTGAATTTATTATAAGTAAGGAAATTCAGACTTGGAGATTAAAGGTTACCCAACTAGTATGTGGCAGAACCAGGACTCAATCTAGGTTTAGTCTCTAGAATCTATTCCCTTTTCAGGACACCAACACTCTTTCTTGGGTAAGACTTGAAATCCTGGTTTTATTGTTCCAAGATAGATGCCAGTAGATGATGCCAAAAACAGTGGTTTTGAGCTTTTTAATTAAAACTTTTGGAGGTACTCTGATTTGGGATCCCTGCTTGCAACTGGTATCTTAGTTTGTTAGGGGGGCCATAACAAAAATGCCATAGACTGGGTGGCTTATAAACAGCAGAAACTTGTTTCTCACCGTTCTGGAGGCTGGGAAATCCAAGAGCAAATCACCTGCAGATTCCGTATCTGGTGAGGATGCTTCCTGGTTCATAGACAGCAGTCTTCTGGAAGTGTCCTTACAGGGCTCTGTGGGGTCTCTTTTAGGAGAGCACTAATCCCATTCATGAGGGCTACACCCCCATGACCTCATCACCTTCCAAAGGCCCCACCTCCAAATACCATCACATTGGACATTAAGATTTAGCATGAATTTTGAGGGGATACAGATGTTCAGTCTCTAACACCTGGTGTGCTTGAGTATGTTTTGAAAATCACTGCTAGTACATTCTATTACCATTAGAGAGACTATAGATTATTAAAACCGTTCATTTTTCAACATGTTTTTGGTTTATCAATAGTACTACATTTCTATAATTATCTCTTAGATTTCTACGGTGGTTTAGTTGACATGTATATGTTAGTGCCTTTTATTATCTTATGAAGTAAATTAGGGCAAGGGTTAATATTTTCTCTTAATGAGAAAACTCAAGTGTTCATTGACTTGCCTAAGATCGCAGAATCATTAAGTGGCAGAAACAAGATTTAAATCCAGACTTCAGATTTTTAGTTTATCGTCATTCTTGTTATATTCTGGTGCAAAGGGATTGGTGTTTAAAGTGATATAGATCTGAGTTTGAAGCCCAGCTTGAGTATTTACTCTGGGTTAAGTCATTTAACCTCTCATAATGTTTCCTATCTCTAAAATGGGGATACTTCTGCTTACCTTAGAGTGAGATAATACAAGAAAAGCACCTATGCTTCCTGACACATAAGCTCTTAAGGAATGATAACTAGTAAATTATTTTATATTGAGAACTGTAAGAAAGGCTTATTCTTTATGAAGTAGAAGTTCTCCTTTCAATTTCTTATAAAGTCCGTTTTTTCCCCTCAAGCTGTGTGTTTATTCATATCTAATTAGTCTTTCATTCAACTTGCTAAGTTTATTATGGATATCAGGCCTCTTAGGAAGGCTGTAAGGAGCTGTTCACACAAATGGAGAAATAAAGGGCAAAGTGAAGTGATTTGCTCAAGGTCGCATACTGTATTACTACATGAATTAAGTCCTAGTGTTTCTGTTTTTGTTAGTTATTTTATTTTATTTTTGAGGAAGATTAGCCCTGAGCTAACATCCATGCCC